GGGGGGGGAAATGTGGGTCTTTATTTTTACACTATACCACACAAGCACTCAGTTTGTACCTTCCTGTATTGTCTTTTCGATGGAATTTCATAAATGTGCACTTTTTAAACCTCACTGCTCTTTCACTTATTTGTGTTTTATAACAAAGCCAGCCGGGTGATGAATAATGAAACACTAGCTCACACAACCCTATTGATGATGGCCCTCCTAGGTTACCAATAGCCTGTCTAAGAATACAGCACAGTATGCACGCTCACATTACACTCCCTAGAGAGGCCAATGCTGTAACTAGTGCGGGCATCTTAGAAACATGTTACTAGGCATTACTGGCTAGTCTACTGTTTGCAGCTATTTATGTCTACAGGGTACATACACAAAACCTTTTTTTCTCCTCTTACAGTGCAGCAAATGTCACAACAGAAACAAGATTTACAGTAAATCTCATTCAGTTCACGTTTCACACAGAATTCAGTGTAGTATATCAAATTGGGTTTGCCTTTTTTGTTTGTCCTCATGTACATAGAAGTTCTATTTAAGATGAAAATAATGTTTAAAATCATGTAGTTTTTATTTCTCTACTCTATATAGCATGTCATTAATGAATAAATTTGTTTGAAGTAATTTTAATGAGTTTGAAGTCTTGTGTTTATTAAATGTATTCTTCTTTTGCTGTACAGTGATATAAGAATGTGCTGGTAAAGAAATGTCTGGGGCAGAATGGGTAAGGTTACAGCATTAACTGAGCCAAATGATGCAAAATCCTGATTATTAACTGGCAAGGGGCAGTAATGGGCAGTTGCCATAGTGGCAGACATCTGAATGTATTGGCAGGTTTAGAAATTATTTGGCTGTAAACCTAAATAGGCAGGTCTTAAAGTATATCTAAAGCCTAAATATAACATTTTGCATAGAGAAGGGAATGGTTAAAACATCAGGTTTGTTTTTTCTCTCATTGGCAACGTTTCACTTCACTAGCTGTCCTAGAGATACTTTGGAAAGACTTTCATTTCCTGTTGTAAGGGGAAATCCCCACTTTTGAATCTCTACACTCTATCCAAATCTAATCTTTGAGCTTTAGATGCACTTTAATACCACCAAATTACAGAATGGCTTGTATAGACGTTATACATTTTTGAAAGTTTAAGGTTAATGGTAATAAGATAATTTCCACTTTAGCTGCTGAAACACTGCCAAACATGTTTCTAATCAATGCTCATTAGGGTTATGCCACATCTTGAGCTTTTTTTTGTCACATCGATATGTTCTGTGGTGCTCTCTTTATGGGATGGTGGTTTTAGGCTAGTTTTTTTGTCTACGTCAAAAGTCTATCCAACACTCCCCAAAGTGTCAATTTTGCAGCACGTTGCCATCCTGATATCTTTGCCTACTACAACAATTTCCCTCTGTAAAGCAGAGTTCTGCAAGTACTCCTAATACAGAGTCCATGCTCGTGTTGGCGGCACAGCATGTGGTGACACGGTGTCTTTTAGCATGTATGGGTTCTTCTGGAACACTTCTATCTCAAATCACAAAGTTTCTTTACATAGATTATATCATTTGCCAGTGCACAAAAATACAATATTCCATTTGGATTAATATTTAATCACGTATTTTTATATGTCCACCAAAGCACATTAGGGCCAAACCAATACATATTCTTACATTACATTAGCAACAATTTTAAAGTAATAAAACTGGTATAAAACATAAAAGTAACATAGAAAATCTAGATCTATAAAGGTATGCTTCAGTAAACACATACAGGTATAATAAATAAGAAGAAAGAAATGTGATGTATATGGAAGATGCTGTCCACAAAGGATCAGGGTTTGACTTCTGCAAGTATGATGTCAATGCCTTTTATTGGGTGGATGCACTGACAACAGCAGAATCAAGGACCACATTACAAAATATCTTCCTTGCCGGGAAATTAAAACACTACATAAAACAGTCAGTGGGGGTTAATGTGTCTGCCCCACAAGCCAAGACCATGTAAACATTTTAAACGGTGGGTAGACCAATCACTCATTCAAGCTTAAACTGCCCGTGTGACTGATGGCCAGTCGGAGCAACGCCTGAGTCTCCTCTGTCTGCTGTTGCACTTGCTCAAGCTGTTCCTTCAGTGGACTTTGATTGATTGCCATTGAAAACTCTGGATCTAAAATTAAAATAACAGTGGTTAGATTACTTCTGGACTCATGAAAGGGGAGAATAAAGCCTCATTCACACTGCCGCGCATATATGCGCGTACTGTACCTTATGCAAATAAATGGCTCCATATACATAGCCGCGTATGGCGCCGTATATATGCGCAAAAACAGAATGGAACACAGATGTGTCCGGGCAGTGTATTTCTGCGTATTTACAGCACATAGAAAATTCTATTACGAGTGATGCATTCTGGGATTGCATATAGTGCACGCATATACGCGCATAGACTCTCTATAATAATCTTATTTAGGCTCTATCTATATACTAGCCCCGGAATAGGCAACCTAAGGCATGTGTGCTATGCCAGGCATGCAATGTAATGTTCCATGGCACCTGCAAGATCGGCACAGGCTCTGGAGAATCCTCCAGTGGACCTTGCTCACTACAAATCCAGTGTTCCTGCCATATGCTCACAGGGTTGCTAATTACAAAAGCATGATCTGCCCCTCTGTTCCCGCAACCCACCCACCACCATGATGTTTCAGAGGCCCACCTGACTTTGAGGTGCTGGCCCTCATTGTAGCAGCATAGGCCCACCTGTAGCTCATTGTTACAAGAAGAAGCACACCCACGTCCTGCTTCCTCCAACTACTGGAACTTCCAGCCACAGCAGGTATGAATGTAAAATCCCTGCATTTCTGATGGTACAGGAACTAGGGATTATATGAGATGTGAAGGTGCAGGAATTGGGGCTGAATGGAGTTCTATTGTTCATTGGCATGCCGATTGTCCAATGCATGTAAATTGACAGTTCATATGGAAAAGTTTGTTGATTCCCGAACTGACCTAATGTTTAAACTTTTTTTTTTTCACTGATCTATACTGGTTTGATGTTCCAATACTTGTAATTATTCTAATTGTCTGTTACATTAACTTTACTTGGGCCCTATCTATACAAATCATAAAATACCTGTCTGCATCTCTGGTGTATGCGGAACACATTCTGATGCTCAAGACTAGAAAGCAAGAAGTCTGCACTGCATGCAATCAACATATACTGAAGCAATCGCTTAAAATGAATGCCTTAGCTTTCATGGCTGTAGGGGGAATTCTAAATACCAGAGTCCTGGACACCTTGAACTGCCCAGTGGGAATTTGAGGTCCACTTAAAAGGTTATGCTTCGTGGGTACTTGAGATTTTGATAAGAAAATGTGTTTCCAGTCTCAGGGAAGCACATGTTGGGAAGGGAAAAGGTTTAGTCATACAGGAATCTGGAAATACTGCCAAGACCCCAAAAAGTAAAACCGTACCTTCACTTAACAAGCACAGGGTGGCAATTCCCATCTGCTGAAACTTAAGCTCTGGGTGACTGAGGAAACTCATGAGGTAGGCCTGGACGTCCTTCATGAAAGGTTTGAGGTATGTAGCGATTCTCCCTGTAAGAAAGAATACTGTATGCATTAATATCAATCACATACTTATTTTGTGTGTTGTCATTTATAAACAAAAACAGACACCGATCTTCAGGACATATCGCACTGGCTCCTAGATGATTCTCTGAATGATAAGCAACTCTTTGCCTGGCTAAAGAGGGTGATCAAACTTACATCATGCATGCATTCCCCTGACACTCAGTTGACGGAAGGTTCCAGAGTCAATAAAAAGCAATGCTTAAAATTTTGAGCACTGCTGCCATTCTCAGGCTGTTTGAGGTGGCAGGCACAACACAGTTGAGGGAGCCTGTCCACTAACAGGGATGTTTTTGAACTTGTTGGAGAATTTCCCTGCAAGTGGGCAGGAGCAGAAAAACTGTGTGCATGGCACTGTCAGCATTATACGAGTAAACTTTCTAAATTCTATAGCGAGGGGACAGAGTAAGAGCTAGATACAATAACAGGTACTGTGACTCATTTCATGGTATGGCGTACTCTTAAATCATATACATCTTCAACTTGTACGTACATACATACACAAACATATAAGTACATATCTCCACATTTCGTAATGTCTCCCACATTTTACATATAAATCGATTGCATGTGGTTTGAAACGTTTGAAAATATACTTGGCTTTCTTTCCATCACATTACTGTTTCATACCAATTTATAGAACATTGGCATGGCTAGTAAAACAGCATTATATTAAATAGTACTGACCACTGAAGAAGAATGTTGGTGAAAAATGACTACACCTTGTAGTTCTCACTACAGAACTGAAACATCTAGATTTTTTGGGTGGCACAAATTCTTACTGAAATTTTCAGTAATTTAAAAAAAAAAAAAAAAAAGGCAAAAATGTACAGAAAGGTGGTAATATCACAAAATCTACACGTGGATTTTGCCAAATGTTCTTTTACAGTTTCCAGTAGAGAAGATAAAATCTTACAAAAAGATGAAACTGTTACTCTATATTTCTCATAAAAAAAACAACAATATTAATTCTGCCCCTTAGGCCTACATTTAGGGCTGCAACAACTAATCGACAATTGATTATTGAAAAAGTTGTCAACTTTTTCAATCATCGATTAATCGGCTTCCGATTGGTTGGCCCTGTCCACAGCTCCACACACGCTGCGCACCACACCTCCTCCCCACCTCACGCTCGCCGTTGCCAGACCCGCCCGGCCGTATCCACGCTCCACACCTCCTCCTCGCCTCACGCTCACCAGCCACCCACATCCACGATCGACACAGGGACGCGGGGAGAAGAAGTAATGAGGAGCAGGTGTGGGCGGATGGCAGCCGCTGATAGACAGGCCCAATCTCAGAAACAAGTTGCTGGAAGACTGCACTTTCCCACACATGGTGCTCTATAATGTATTGCTGGGATAGTAGGATTAGTATTCCTCTATAGCTGATGGTACATTCTGCTGTACTGTATATTATACAGAGCAATGAACCATCAGCTATAGAGGAATACAAATCCCAGCAATACATTATATACTGTATTGCTGGGATTTGTTGTATTCCTCTATAGCTGGCGGTATTCTGCATTGCGCTGTATAGAGGTCTACAAATCCCAGCAATAATACATTATACAGCGCAATGCAGACTACAAAGCTATAGAGGACTACAAAACCCAGCAATAATACATTATAGCTGGCGGTATTCTGCATTGTGCTGTATAATGTACTTTTGCTGGGTGTTGTAGTCCTCTATAGCCGGTGCCATTCGGCATTCATTGCTGTATAATTTTACACTTTTCATTTCACTATATTGCACACCACACTTTTTTTTTTTCTTTTTTACTTCCACCGCTCCAAGCCTGCTCCTGTGATGGACTGCAATCTCAATACAAACTAGTAGTCCATCACTGGAGCCATTTTTTTACATTTATTTTATTTTTTTATCCGATTAATCGAACTTAATATCGGCTAACTATTCGATTTTGAAAATAATAGTTTGCTGCAGCTCTACCTACATTGCTTACAAAACAGGATACCTATTAAAGCAGACCTTTACCCCCTTTCACCAAAAATCACATTAGGGTACAGCTCTGCATGCTGATATGAATTCATCTCACATTCATTAGTTAAATGCACATTTATTTTACTTCCAATTAGTTTTTTCACTTCCTTGTTCTCTTAGGCATTAGTGTATCTGTGCCCAAGTGATGCATCCTGGGAAGATTACACCACAGTGCACTGCTGAGAAATCTCATCAGTATACTGCAAAATCCCACAAGATCTCAGAGAAATGCAGTTTTTTGCCTTGAGATGATGTGCATGATCACATGTGCCAGAGTTCCAGGAAGTAAAGGCAGATATATCAATCTGCCCTTAATAATCATGGTCATTGTCAGAAGACTGGGGAAGAAAAGAGAAATAAGTTATGCAAATAATACAAAGCCGGCAATTATCTAGAAGTATGTGTTTGTAGACTGTCATTACTAAACATTTCTAAAAGGTGTATTTGTTTTTTTTTTAAAGATATGGATAAAGTTCATCTTTAAGTACACACAAATGCAGTATAACAATGAATTTGTGAAAGGATCAACCCTATATATTTGGAGTAGCCTGTGTATGATTTTAAGATTATTTCTTAAAGTATATGTAACAGCCAAACATTTTGGATAGAATATGGGCATTGTTAAAACCTCTTACAGTTCTTTGTTTGCCATCTGTAACTAGGAGGATTTCACTTCACTTCCACTCCTGCAGACTCAACAGGAAGTGAGAGGATATATTTTTAATACTAGGGAAATCCTCTTAGTTGTAACGGGAACAAGTGGTCCCCATTGGAAGATTTCGCCTCTGTTCCTGTTCTGGTGGCAACTGAACATTTGGATTTAGCCATCGTTTTTAAACACGTTGACATTGGTGATTAAGGCTATTGGAGTGAACAACCTCTATAACATTGATACAGACAGCAATGAAAACTTGATAGCGGCTCTAACCCGGATGTGGAATGTGGAATTGTTCAAGAAACTTTTGGACGATTTCTTAAGGGACCGTAATATACAGGGGTACGGGTACTCCTAGAATGAGATCCTAATAGGTTGGACTTGATGGACTAATGTCTTTATTCAACCTCAAATACTATGTAACCCATCACCATTCTATCCAAAATGAAAGAAAATGTTTTGCCTCAAGTTATACTTTTTTTTTAATGCATTTTGTGCATACTACGGTATTTTAATCCATTTATCTGAACTGTTCCTTTACTATTGTTGGCTGTCTTGTACATGTTGCACACTTATAAAGTAATAGAATAGCCAGATTTCACATTTAGTCTTTGGCAAAATTTCACTTCCAATTGATTCCAATGCATTTAGACAAATATGACCTGACATGATCCCTAGAAGCATCATTGACATTTTTCCTTAAACAAAATGCATTGGAATCAACAGGAACACAATTTCACCTAAGGCGAAATCAATTTAGCAAAATGTTGCTGTTGTATGTTGGCTATACATAACCTATGCAAATGCAGCTGGGTCGTGTGTGTGTGTGTGTGTGTGTGTGTGTGTGTGTGTGTGTGTGTGTGTATATATATATATATATATTTCGAATTCTTCTGCAATGTACCTCTGTTTTCAGTTTCCCTCACTTCGCCTCTTCTCATAGTCTTTGTTTAATAGAAGGGGCCTAATAACCTTTGAAGATTGCTAAGTGGGTGTGTGACCAGGTAGTAAAAATGCAGCATGTAATTCATGTCGCAGGCAGCAATGTAGTGAAATTACATTTAAACTTGGTGTGAATATACTTGTTCTACAATTCGGATTAACAATATACAGTCAGTCAGTTTCCATATGCAAGATGACAACTTCTGCAACAACTATTACAATTAAACTGTAATATTAGGGATGGGGATGTGTTACATAGTAACATTTTGCACAGGAGGCCTGGCCCTGGATTACATTATGCATAGAGAATATGAGCTTCCTTTCAGTACATTACCAGAATGAGACAGATGTTTGATAACTGTGGCAGCTTGGAAGGAGAGTTCTTTGTGTTCTAAGTATCCAGACAGTCTCACCAAACACTTAAGGAAAGCTTTATCCTTTTTCTTAATCAAATGCTCCCGTGCATAGTCTGCAAAGGGAAAAGGGAATCAAGACAGAAACGTTAGGTTCTTTGTTCAATGAATATTCACCAACACTGTGAATTGTCTGTTATTACAAGCTGCCTGGCTTCCTGATTGGCCGGGAACCTGGCCCCATGCTCCCTCGTCACCAGGGAGCATGGAGCTGGCTTCCCGGACAAATCAGGAAGCTGGGGGGGGTGTCAGATAATGACTTTCCCCCCCAGCTTCCCAATTGGTCGGGAAGCTGGCTCTATGCTCCCTGATGACGAGGGAGCATAGAGCCGGCTTCCTGGCCAATCAGGAAGCCGGTCAGTGTGTAATGATTTGCTGCCCAGCTTCCTGATTGGTCGGGAAGCTGGCCAATCAGGAAGCCAGGCAGCAAGTCATTACCCGCCCCCTGATTGGCCAGATTGCCGACTCCATGTTTACTCGTCACCTGGTGACGAGGGAGCATGGAGACGACTTCCCGGCAGCGAGTCATTACACACTGCCCAGCTTCCTTAATGGGACTTCCGGTATCGACAAGTACCGAAAAAAAACATTGGTACTCGATACCAACAAACCTGTATCAGTGCATGCCTAACCAACACCCTTCCACCATGGATACAACAGAAAATGTAAATCATATTATAAAGCCTCAAACAATAATGCCAAGTTGACTTGAACTACATTTGCACCACAAGTCAGGAAACAAAGGATAGTCACAGGTGTTATTTCCTGGCAAATCTTTTTTGCGAGTCCGATAGATGTAAAACTAGTCCGCCATCTTTTACTTACATTTGCGTGAATACATATTAGATTTCCTGTATTTTTAACAGTCATCCCCATCACTTGCACAGTATTCTGCAGCTGTACATGCTTACAATAGGATAGCATAGGACAATAAGCTCCAAGTCTCTCAAAGCCTCAGACAAGTCTTCTTCAGCATAGGGGCACCCAAACTTTCCAAGGTGGGGAGACACTTGATAGCTTTTACAGAAACTTGGACAGCCTGCATCTCAAATTCCTGGGTGCAAAAGGTTGTTTCCAGGGGCTCCAAGTTAGTTTTCCTCCCTATCCCCTCCCCAGTTCATCACTTCCAATCTGTCTGTGTCACCTCACAGAGGATCAAGATAAAAGGCCATTCTAATGATCCTCATTGCTCCAGACTGGCCCAGGCAGATGTGACACTTAAGACTTGTTAAAACTTTTGGGGGACACTGTGGGCTCTTCCAGATCATCTGGCTCTTCTTTTTTTTTAATAAATTCTTTATTTTATATTTTAAAAGCTTTGATGGTGATCACAAGAAGAGAAAAAAAAGTGCATAAGTAGCAAATAGTTGCTCTCTCGGGTGGTCATAGAGAAAATACACCAAATGCATTGCGATGTATATGACAAAGTAAACAAAATAAGATATTTAAAGCGTTGAAAAAAATAAGGGGACGGTGTTCCCCCTGCTCAGCTGATCAGTGACCCGTAAGTATCTCAAGAGGGGGACATACAAGTGTCCAAGTGCTTATGAGCGCATCTGTGGATCCGAGGGAGGTGTGTGTGTGTGGGAGGGACTTCTATCCCTAAGTGAAACGACATCCTGTCAATAGCATGCATAAGAGATGTCGTTTTTAAAACTTTAGTGTGCACAACAAAACAAACCAGAAGAAGAGAAAAAAACAGTGTTCGGCAAGTGAATGTGAGTAGGTTGTGTGGGTAAGGGGTTGAGTGATGGAAAAGGAAAGAAGAAAAAAAAAAAGGGATACGGCATAAATGGGCCAGTAGTTACTAGGTCACTAAAGAGAGAGAGATGGTGGTAGGGCATATACCTAAAAAGGGTGGGGAAACAGGAGAGGCAGGGAGGAGATGGGATAAGGTTTCCCCATCAAGAGCAGGTCAGCGTTCTCCTATCCGAGGGTAAGGTAGTCAGGGGACCGAGTGTATTCCAACCAGGGGAACCAGGTTCGAGCGACTGAGGCAGAGGTATGTTTAATGGAGCTCGTGAGCTCTTCCATGATGTATGTATCATGGATACGGTCTAGGACTTGGCTTATAAGGGGGGCTTCGGGTTTCTTCCAGAGTGCTGGAATACATGCCCGGGCTGCATTTACCACGTGTCTGATCAAGGAGTGGATACAGGAGCGCAGCGGGATGGTGTTATGGTGGAGGAGAAAGAAGGTCGGGTCTTCAGGCACCTGGACATCCATAAATTTCTGAGCGAGAGCGTGCACTTGTTCCCAAAACCGACGGAGGGCCGGGCAGGACCAGAAGATGTGTAACATTCCTGCCCCGGATTGTTGGCAGCGCCAACATAGGTCAGGTGACTCTGGGAATAATGTGTGAAGGGATTGTGGAGTACGGTACCATCTAGTCACGATCTTATAGCCCGACTCTTGGTATCTATTACTAATCGAAGAACGGTACGAGAGTGTGAGTAACTTCTCCGTAGCTTCCGGGGTAAAGCTGGTCTGTAGTTTTCCCTCCCATCGTGATATAAACCACAAGTGGTCTGGGTCCGGTGGTTGGATCAACAATCTGTAGCAGAGGGAAAGAGTGTATCGGGAAGGCTTATGTTGTGAGCAAAGTTGCTCAAATGGTGTAAGGGATCTACAGGGGTGTCGCGTTGCGGGGTTTGCGTGCAGGAAATGAGACAATCGCACTGCTGACCAAAAATCAAGAGGGCCATAATCCGGGTTAGTGCAGAGAGTGTTGGTTGAAGGTCTAGTCGTGTCAGTCAGGAAGTGTTTGGCCTTATCTTTTCCAAGTCTCCATAGCGCTGGGTACGTGTGGGCACCTATACCCGGTGGTAATGCCAGGATTGTCTAAAATGGGAGTGAGAGGTGAAGGAAAGGGAGAGATCCTACCTCCCTTAAAAATGGACCGTGCAATCTTGACCGTGGGGCCAATGGTGGGGTGGGATTGTAATTGTGGAGGTAAGGGAGTGATACACCAAGGGAGATTGGCTAAAGGGACATCTGCAAACGATTGTTCCAGGTCCACCCAGAGTTTGGTTTGGGAGTTGTGGCACCAGTCTACTATACGTGTCAGGTGGGCCACCACATAGTACTGTCGTACATCTGGCAGTAACATCCCGCCCTGTTGTTTGGGTCTACGCAGGATATCGTAGCTGAGCCTGGCTGGTCTCTGTGACCAGACAAACCCTGTGAAAAGCTTTCGAATTTTACGGAAAAAAGGTGTGGAGATGAGAATCGGGAGGGCTTGAAGGGTGTAGAGTAGTCTAGGAAGGATAGACTGCTTTAGTATGTTACATCTTCCCATCCACGAGAAGGTATTTTTGGTCCACGCCTCAAGGTCTGCAGTTATGCGCTGCAGAAGCGGAGGGAAGTTCAACGTGAATGTTTGGGATATATCTTTGGGTAGAAGTATACCCAGATATTTAATCACGGTCGGTGCCCATTTAAAGGGAAAGTTGTGGAGAACTCTCTGGAGGCATGGTCCCACAAGGGATACATGGAGTGCCTCAGATTGATTGGTATTTATGGAGACCTCTCAAATTTTAGAATAAACTCCCAACTCCTGGAGAAGGGCAGGAATAGAGATATCTGGGGAGGACAAGAAAAAAAAAAGGAGGTCATCCACGAAGGCTGCGATTTTGTGATGGTTAGTCCCCTCCATCACACCTCGGATATCTGGGTTAGCTCGGACAGTAGGTAGGAAAGGCTCCAGGGACAATACAAAAAGGACTGGGGAAAGGGGGCAACCCTTGCGTGTGTCATTACATATGGGGAATGAAGGAAAAAGAGCACCGTTGACCGTACTCTGGCAGCCGGATGGGGGTAAAGGGAGCTAATCCCATACAGGGTCCCACTCCGATCGCCTCAAGGGTGAGCCGGAGGAACTCCCAGTCTACCCGGTCGAATGCCTTCTCTGCGTCTGTGGATAAAAACGCGGTTTGGCGCCCGACCGAGTGGAGCACCCCCAGCGCTCGCGTGGTGTTGTCCCTTGCTTCCCTGATAGGTATAAAGCCCGTTTGGTCTAGGTGTATACAGGTGAATCTCGAATAATTAGAATATCGTGCAAAGTTCATTTATTTCACTAATGCAACTTAAAAGGTGAAACTAATATATGAGGTAGACTCATTACATGCAAAGCAAGATAATTCAAGCCGTGATTTGTCATAATTGTGATGATTATGGCTTACAGCTCATGAAAACCCCAAGAACCCCAAATCCACAATCTCAAAAAAGTAGATTATTACATGCAATCAATAAAACAAGGATTGTACATAGAACAATATCGGACCTCTGAAAAGTACAAGCATGCATATGTACTCAGTACTTGGTTTGGGTCCCTTTTGCAGCACTTACTGCAATTACTTTTGCATGATATTCTAATTATTCGAGTTTCACCTGTAAGCTCTCCTATATGGGGAACCACACGGAGGTGGGAGTGAGCGTTTAAAACCTGTGGGAGAAGTGATAAAGGGCACACATGTCCGGGCCTGCTGTTTGCAGGGCTCTTCTGTCCTGAATTACCATCCTACTTTATAGTCCCTGGCTTTAATGGTATAGCTGTTGAAGCCCAGGTTTGAGAGGCAGGGGCCTCTCATTCCTTGTTCAAGACCCTTGTACGTGGGGGGGGGGGGGGTCACCTATGTAGCTCTCCTTGTTTGTTCCCCTTTAACTCCATTGGATATGAATCTGGTTCACTCTGAGTTTCAGAAGCCGTCATTTGAGCTTGAGACATTGCTCTCTCTACCCTTGCCCATAAGGTGGTATCCCTTGTTGGCATCAGTTCTGTTCGGCGAATATCTGAACTGGTTGCCCTATTCTGCGAGGAACACTACTGGTTTGCATATGAATGTTAAGGTTTAAGACTTCCCTCTGTGCGAGGTAGTTTCTGCCTTTCACCTCATCCAGGATAACATTCCTCTGTGCCGCCATCCAACTACAGTTTACCAAAAGGAAATATTCCTCCATTGTCTGCATGTGGTTTGGGCTGTGAATGTCTCTCAGCCACTACATCTTTCTGAAGACTTGATGCCCATTTTGTCATCCCAGCTGCTCCCATCCCATCTTCATAAAAGGTGCACCATTTCTAGGTGCCTCAGAGAGACGATCTTTCCAGCTTATGGTCTCATGGATCAGGTTCCACCCTTTTCTGTCAAGACACTCTACTAAATTTGTGAGTGCTTACCAGGCTTTGGCATCAGGCTACTTTTTTTTTTATTGGAGTGCAAGGCTGCCACCTGGTTTTCTGTTCATATGTTCTTGATGTTAGACCAGATGGATGTTCTCTTCCTTGTCTGCTTCGTAGGAACGAGATATAAGGCCATTCTGGTGATCATCATTGTTTCAGACTAGCCCAGGCAGATCTGGTACAACTTCTGGCAGACACTCCATAGGCTCTTCCAGATTGTCTAGCTTCATCCGATGACAGCTTCAGGCATAAGGTCCTTCAGGTGGATCTCCAAGCTGCCAGTCTCCAGTTGCTGGTATTGTTTTTGTTTGGATCGTTAGCCTTTGTTTGCTCTGTTAAGCGCCCCTCAGTTGAACTGCTTTTGGACATCCCAAAAGGTGAATGACTTCCTATGCCCCTCAATGGACGAGAAAGAAATATTAAAAACATTTTTAATTAAAAAAAAACTTTTCTTGGAGTCCATTGAGGCACACTGAAAGCCATTCGTCTTTAGGTTATACTGCCACCTATAGGAAGTTAGGACACTGGCAACAAAAAACTTGTAGGCCAGCCCAGCATAACCCATCCTACTCCAAGCAGGTCTCAGTTTTGTGGCAAAGCAGTACCAAGAGCATGAAAAAAAAAACAGATTGGTGTGGGATGTAGGTCCCTCAATGGACTTCAAGAATTAGATTTTACGGTGAGTAAAAAAAAAAAATCCTATTTTTACACTGCTTCAGTATTCTGAAAGCAGCTACACTAGTCGGCAATCAGCTGACAATTAAAGGGTAAAATGAATTCTCTGGGAAAAAATGTTCATGTCCAATTGTCTCCCCTGATTGGGCATTACCTGTGGCTTACTAATTTTTATTTCATAAAACACTTTATACCATATAAAAACTGGGAGTAAAATACAGGTACATCTTATGCTCCCATATCAGCATACCTTTAGAGTACTGTACAAGGACTATTTTGAGTACATTCACTGTAGACTACCAATAGGAAAAAGCAATTGCTAACTGTAAAGTAACATCCTACCATATTTAGCCACTTCAGCAATGCATGATGCTAAATACTGCAGAGATTCCTCTTCATTATTAGGATCCAGAAGGGCCAGTAGTAATTCCTCAAAGCACCGACTTTGTACAATGACCTTGAATAGCAAAACAAAAGCACTATATCCTTAGACATTCATGAACGTGTAATAGAACCAGTTTTCATGCACTAGTGCAGAAACAAAAAAGACTTTACGACAACGGTCTTTTGCAGACTGCATGGTACAGCTTTTTCATTCTCCTCTCCCTCAAAGCAAATACCATTTTTGATTTATCATCTTCTTCTCACAATAGGTTAGGGACTTGCAACTACTGGTGTTCATATGCAGTGAATCTGGAAATAGAGTTCCTGTGGCAGGAGACATGGATATACTAAGCACCGGTGACCATGTTTCTTTGCTGGAAAACATATTGAGACGGTAGGGATGGAGAGGCATATAAGCCTTTCCAAAGCCCCTAGAAAATCTAATGTGATTCTCACTGGATTGGATTCGAGTGGCAACAATGTGACTGTCACTCCAGCTAACTCAACTCTACTATGTGCCGGGAATGAGAGTAACAGTGTGCACTAGGGATGCATCGATACCGGTATTTTGGTACCAAGTATCGATTTTTTTTTTCAGTACTCGCCGATACCAATTACTGAGTACCAGAAGTCCCATTCCTGATTAGCCGGGAAGCCGCGCAGAGTGTAAAGACTCGCCACCCGGCTTCCCAATTAACAAGAAAGTCTGTTCCCTTTACCTCGGCATGTCCAGTCTGTAACTCCAGAGGCCTCTCCACTGTCACTCCAGGGGCCTCTCCAGCCAGAGCAAGACCTTTCTCCGGTACCCAGTCGGAGCCGTCTTGCCGGCCAATCATGGAAGCCGGGCGCCGTGTAATGATGCAGCGCCCTGCTTTCTGATTGGCCGGCTCCATGCTCCCTCATCATGAGATGATGAGGGAGCATGAAGCCGGCTTCCCGGCCAATCGGAATGCTGCGCCATTACACGGCACCCGGCTTCCTGATTGGCCAGGTTCCCTACCAATCAGGAAGCCGGGCAGCACGTCATTACACGCTGCCCGGCTTCCTGATTGGCCGGGAAGTCGGCTCCATGCTCTCTCATCACAAGTGACGAGAGAGCATGGAGCCGCTTCCTGGCCAATCAGGAAACCGGGCAGCATGTAATGACGCGCCTACCTGGCTTTCTGATACAGGAAGTATCGGGCTAGGCATCGGAGCATTTGGGCGAGTATGAGTACTCGCCCAAATACTAGGTATCGGCACCGATATTGATACTAGTATAGGTGCATCCCTAGTGTGCACCCACATAGCCAGGGGAAACAATAGTGCCAATATACAAAGTCTGGCGTCTTTCAAGGGATGAGTCCTGAGTTAGTTATTCTTTAATGGTGCACTCCAAATACTATTCAAAATTAAAAGGAGAAGTGCACTTTAAAACAAAGTACATTTATCCTGTTAGGTACCTTTAAGTTATTACATTAAGTGTGGGAAGCCTATATGCAATCAGAAAAAAAATCTGCACTGAATGTTGGAATGCTATTGGATTAAATATTGGTGATATAGGATTTATGGGCTGACTAGCTGGATCCATATACAGGTGAAACTCGAATAATTAGAATATCATGCAAAAGTAATTGCAGTAAGTGCTGCAAAAGGGACCCAAACCAAGTACTGAGTACATATGCATGCTTGTACTTTTCAGAGGTCCGATATTGTTCTATGTACAATCCTTGTTTTATTGATTGCATGTAATAATCTACTTTTTTGAGGTTGTGGATTTGGGGTTCTTGGGGTTTTCATGAGCTGTAAGCCATAATCATCACAATTATGACAAATCACGGCTTGAACTATCTTGCTTTGCATGTAATGAGTCTATCTCATATATTAGTTTCACCTTTTAAGTTGCATTAGTGAAATAAATGAACTTTGCACGATATTCTAATTATTCAAGTTTCACCCTTAGAGTTGCCCTACCCCATGTGCACCTTTCCTTTGCTAGTTATATACTGATATGAGCAGCGGCTATGTTTTGGTTTTGCTTGATTTGGTTCAGAGACACACCCTGGGGATTTTGAGCTTCCTTGAGCGAGTTTAAATTTCTTATGGGTTGCTTTAAGTTTAAAGTACATGTAATCCCCAACAATGACCTTTTTTTGCTCCCATTTGGTTTGTTAAATATATAATTGAAAACATTGTGCAATACCTGTTTAATATGTGCAAAAACAACCTGTTATGGTAAAAAAAATCCACAACTGTCTTGTACACTCTGTTCTTCCTGTGTACTGTAGAACACACCCCTATGAGATGGGAAAAGGAGGAGGTATTTTGCCGTTCATAAAAAGACAACTGGGCTAGGTTGACATCGTTCCTTATGATTTTAGTCCAGAAAAGGCAGTGTTGTCAGCTCACAACAGGAAATTAGGAGCTGAATGCATTTCTGCTGAGATCAACAGTGCAGCAGAGTGGCTGTACATGTATACCTAAATGTATGCAACAAAAGCCTAAAATGTTAAACGCGGTTTAAATATGATTTCTGTGCTGACATGCTGGATTGAGTGCTGAGGAATACTGGCATATAATCCCACTGATGATGCCTAAAGCTGGCTATTCACGATGGCTGCAGCTATCGATTATTTTCATAATCGATTAGTTAGCTGATCATTAACTTTAATGAAAATCGATTAATCGGATAAAATACAATGAAAAAAAATCGATTAAAATACATTTAAAATACAATTTAAAAAAACTTAAATAAAATTCACAAATGCAGCGTTACAGACAAAGTTTACTTCAGAATAAAACGGTAAGCACATTTATTGAAATTGCACTGCACTGGAACGCAGGGCATTGCAGTACCACGCGTTTCAGTGCGGGCGATCACTGCAGACAGGAGGTGCATTTGGAATCCATTGAAATGGATGGCAACGCACTGCAGTAAAATTTGTCAGGCCGAAACTGAAAATGACTTTTCCCACCTTTTTATGTATTTAAAAAAAAAATAATTGTATTATATTAGACATTTTAATGATTTCATGGATTTAAAATAATATGTATTCTAAAACTCTAAAGCCAATATAATAAAAAAAACTTATTTAACTACCTCCCGGCCAGCCGCTGTGTATACACGGCCTGCCGGGAGCTTCTTGGATGTAACTGGGCGTGTATACACGTCCTGTTACATCCGCGCGGCGCGCGCGAGCGGGAAATCCCCGCTATTTGAAAAGAGGCAGCGATGCCCGTTAATATACAAGCGATCCGCCGGCTATAGAGCCGGCGGATCGCTTGTATGAAGCCCCGAGACGTGCCCCCCCCCTCCGCGGCTCTCCCCCTCCCGCTGTCAAGCTGGTCCCGGGCTCCGGTGTGAGCCCGGGACCAGCAAAGTGCCTCTGTCACAGGGGATCAGAGGGAGCTCGGTACACGAGCTCCCTCCGGTCCCCTCTCCGCTGTCAGAATGCGGAAGTGTTGTATATTACATCACTTCCGCATTCTTGTGTCACTCTCCAGCTTCAGATGCTGGAGAGAAGCTGATGAAGCAGATCTCTGCTTCATCAGCTTCTTCAGGGGGGTCCTAGGTGACATTAGGGGTCTTGGAGACCCCCTGATGTCTCCATAAAGAGGACCTGTCACCTCTTTTGCTATCACATAAGGGGGTTTCTCAGCCCCCTCTGTGATAGCAATAAAGTTAAGTGAAAAAAAAAAATAGTACAAAAATTTAAAGTTTCCCCCCCAATTTTTTTAAAGTTACACAAAAAAGAATAAAAAAAAAAAATTTTTTTTTTTAAAGTCCCCACCCCTACATACACACATGTAAACATGCGTCAGGTGCGCATACCTGCGAAAACGACGATTGCACCCATTACGCCGCACATGTTACATATCGCCGCGAACGTCGCAGTGAGAGCAATCATTTTAGGGCCATCAATCACTGATAACACTAAACTGATGAGCGGTAAAAGCTTTTAAAGCGTCGCCTATGGCCAATTTTGGGTATGCTAGTTTTTTGCAATTTTGCGAGTGCGCGCAATTTTTACGCTTGACATGTTTGGTGTCTATTTACCCGACGTGACCCCATCTTTTATATTTTACCAAAAAAGTGGGTAATATTAGTTGTTTTATTGCATAATGTAAAAAAAAAGTTTTTTTTCTCAAAATTTTCAGTAATTTCTCCTGAATATAGTAAAAAATAAAACCCGCAGTGGTGATTAAATACCACCAAAATAAAGCTCTATCTGTCCCCAAAAAATTGTATAAAATTCATTTCAGTACAGCGTTGCGTGATGGAATAAATGTCAGTCAAAGTACCGCAGCGCTGAACACTGAAAAATGGCCTGGCCAGGTAGGGGATCTAAACACCTGGTCTTCAAGCAGTTAAACAAACACGCCACAACAATGTTTTTACTATTTTTAATTTTAGGTTTATTTAGCTATTTTTGTATTTTTTACTTCATTGCTGGGAGCAATAGGAAGCCTGTTACTGGATATTTAAAATTGCAATAGCAGGCTGGTTATTGCACCAGCCCACTGCCTGCTGTCAATCAGCAGAGGAAGGAACTGAAGGAGAAAAGTTATTCATCAGGTCCTCCTCTGCAGACTGCACCAGCCCACTGCCTGCTGTCAATAGCCAGCCTGCTATTTTTCGGTAATGTAGTCACAGCAGTCTCTCCTCCCCGCTGGTGCCAGCTGTAGTGGTCTGTGTCCCCGCTACCTCTGCCGATACAGGTCGGGGAGAGCGGAGGCAACTAATCGATGATGAGAATCGTTGCCAATGATTCTCATTATCGATTAGTTGTTGCAGCCCTGCTTTCCCCAGCTTGACTGAGGAAACACAAAAGACTGAGGGAGTGGAGGAGAGGAGGGTCTTTTAAACAGATTAAGTGACGTGTTTACTGTGTGTGGGGGAGGAGATTCCATCTCGTGATGCTGTCCTGGAAGACGTTATGGGAAAAAGTGCAATATATTCCTCCATCTACGATAAACTGTGTGGATGGAGAAATCTCACACTGGGCCAAGCTTTAGTATCTTGCTAGTCGGAACCGCTGGCTATCAAAATAATCTGATTGGATGCATGCATTGTTCAGTTATTTTGAGAGCCAGCGGGGCCGACTAGCGAGATATTGAAGCTTGGCCCAGTGGGAGATTCCTCCATCCACACAGTTTAGCGTAGATGGAGGAATCTTTTGCACTTTTTCCCTCTGACCATAGAAAATCTGCAGATGATCTATAGGTGTAAGGCCAGCTTTACTCAGATTTTAGGAACCGGATCCACCACTGCACATGTGAGGAGCTGCAGTGGATCACACTGAACTTAGATTGAGATAAATTGAGAGAACTTTGAGCACAGCTGCATTGTTTCCTAGATTGCAATCGCAGATCACTGGAAGCAATGTCCAACCCCTTCACCCACCTACTTTTTATGCCACTAGATACAATCTGCTAGACACTCTGCACAAACATTACCAGTCAATACTAACTAGGCTTTCTTAGTTCTTATAGGAATCACCCAGTGATTCCAGCATCAACTTCCAGGCAGATATATGTACCTCAATGTTCTCTGCTTGGCTCAGATTCTGGATGGTGCAAGCAGCATGGATTACAACCACAGGGTTTGCCCGCTCTGTTTGCAGCAACATGGCTAAATGCTGAAGCATGTCTTCACATAGCAAGGCATCCTGGAAGAAAAAAAAAATCCATGATAGATGTGCTATTACAGTATAAAAGCAGACAACATACTTTCCTAATAAATTAAAAACAGATAACAAGCTTGCCAAACGGATGAAAGTTAAAACATTTATTGTAAAAACTAGAACTACACCCAAACGGTTCATCCTAAAAATCACACAAATAATACATGTTTTACTCTGACACAATATTCTTTGATGTGCAGAAGGTATTGTGTTTTGTTACCTATGAAACATTTTATAAGACAAGGCAGCTTAAAGCAGCAATAAATGGATTAATGTAACATTTTAAAAAGAAAGCCCTCTTAATATGAGACTGCCATCCGCTGCTTTAACAAACCTTCAGATCCTTCCCAGACAGGCAAACAAGCATAGAGTGTATTTTTAGGTGCACTGCAGTCACCCTTGGTTAAATGAAGGCTATTTCCTGAACAAAATCCAGTCCATTAAATTGTCTTGAATTTCCCATAGGCTCCCCTAATGACATTTATGAAAATGAATGCAGTTAGCAAAACACAAGCAGGAAGGGTTTGGCACAAAACATTTTAACAGTATGTGCAGCCAAGATTAGCCAACAATTTAAATTAATGCTAATACAAAATGCCTATTGTTCATGGCATAAGTGTACAGGAGACTACAAAAGAGAACATGAAACCAGCTTTAGGATAATGCAGGTACAGCTTCAAGACCAAAACAAAGTGTAGATTTAAATATATATAGTATATACATATATATATTGATATACAGATATCAAATAAGGGTCAGCCAATCTGTTCACTTGAAGCAAGAGCTGCTGCAGATTTGACTGATCAGGACTAGGGATGCGCGAACCCGTGGGAAGTCCATGAACCCTGAACCTACTGCCAAACCCCATTAAAGAGGATGGCCAAAATTGGTATTTTTTTCTGGCCTTATTTTAAGACTAAAACACAAAGTAGACAATAGAGCAAGGTTCTCTTGTTTTGTTTTGTATTATGTTGAAAATGTACTGTCTCCCTTTATGTAGTAAAGAGCTGTGCAAACTGTCTCAGCTATATAAATCCTGTATAATAATAATGTGGAAAAAAGGACACGTTAGATTGGCACTGCCATTAGGAACATGTACCAATACAAAAAAAAAAAAATACTGTTCAGCAGGTAAAGGGCCTTTACTGGTAGCTTAAAAAGGTATTGAAAAAGGTATTGAAAATAGAAGAATAGTTCAAATAACATGTTTGGGGAGGCCTTAACATTGTATATGGTGTTTGATTATCACTTATGGTATTTACATCTTGGCACTTTGTCACTTTTTTTAGCATCAATTTATGGTGGACTTTATAATTAATAATTTGCACTTAATCTCTACTGGCGATATTGCAATGGGAGACACGTTCTATTATGTATGAACTACATTGGTTATGGGATTTATGTGATATCTAGCACTCTATTATTCACTTGCAGCTTTTTGCAGATCGCACGGGACCAGAACACAGGCACTAATGTGCCTGCATTCCGGGCGATCACACTGCGGGCTAGGGGCGTGGCTGCGGTGCCATTGACTTCAATGCACCGCCATGCCCCCTCCCGCCCCTGAATGCAGGTGTATTTTTGTTGGTAGATCTCATTGTGCTCGTTATTTGACAAGTAGATCTGCAAATGAAAAATTGTGGGCACCATTGATGTACAGGATAGAAAGGTTTAAATATGGAAATACCCATGTTTCCAAATGTCAAAAGTTCATCAGCAAATAACTTGCTTTGATACATTTTTGAGACTACATCTAATGATATAATAAAGGTTTGTCTTGGAAGCCTGTACGTAGAACATCTACTTCTGAGCTAAATAACAAACAAAATACTTCTATGCTTATGTTGGCATGAGCTACTATGAGAACAAAACAAAACCCAGCAAGGCATAGTCATGTGGTTACCATATTTCCAGGAGGGTGGGACATGGTGCAGAGGAGTGTAATAGAAGCTTGTCGAACATCTCTACTGCTAGAATTAAGCAAACAAAGGACGAGAGGCATAATGTCCATAGCAAGGAGGTGAGTCCGAACTTGCCCTTAAGATAAAAAAAAA